CCCCCCTTCCTTTCTGCCCTTACCTATTATCTGTTTGCTTCTTTTTTCATTCTATCTTTGTTGCATTGCATTCAAAAAAATTCACATTTGTTGCACAGTAACTAAAGCTGAACTCCAGGGAAAGGTTTAATATGATCCCTACAGTGGGGCTCCAACTGTACTACAAGGTTTAAATGCTTATTTTTGTCTAAGGTATCAGTAAAAAGCAGCTTTGCTGACCTTACCCCTCACTCCTCCAGCAGCCGGTCCTCTCTTCTTCCCTCTGGTGCTCTGGGATGTGAGGGATAATCACTTACAATGCAGAACTGACGGTCCTACGTTGTACGCGATGACATCAGAGGGCCTGCAACTGTCAGAGCACCGAAGAGAGACGGTGGGAGGACCAGTCGCATGGAAAGGAAGGTCAAATGGGAGCAAGAGATAAGGTAAGTAAAACTGCATTTAAATGTACCCTAGACAAAAATGAACATTTAACCCTTGGGCTAAAATTAGGCCATTTTTTAATTTGATTTAGTTTATTACAAAAACATTGGATTTACCACAAAATCAAGGCAGCCATTCTGTAAGCTGATTCCATATGCTGGAGCGGGGGTAGGCAACCCTAGCTCTCCATCTGTGGTAAATCTACAAATCTTATTGTGCCCTTGCCTCTGGTAATTATGCCTGTGGCTGTCAGAGTCTTGCAATGTCTCAAAGGATTTGTAGTTTCACCACAGCCGGAGTGCTGAGGCTGCCTATCCCTGTGCTAGACTCACATCAGCAGGAACTTCAAAAGTTTTATTGCTATATAAGAGCCATTAGTTCACACAAAATGGTGGCCGTTGCTGTGTGATAATGACCAGTACATAGTACTGAATGTTCTGTGATAGGAAATACTGTACATGGTATAATGTTTACCTGAGGACTGCGCTTCTTCCTGCAGAAAGGTCACTTGTTTCTTCTCACCCCTAAGCTTCTTTTTTGGTATTTCATTGGTTGCTAGAGTCAGCTGTTCAATGTTTCCACCAATCTCCGATGGAAAGTACAAGTCAGGAGGACAGCGTGGGGACATCTGCTGCTTCAGGTCTGACAGAGCGCATAGGCCCAAACTCACCTCAAACACTGCCACCGCCTCCTGCTTCCCCTCTATATTGCTTCGAATTTCACTCAGTACCTGAAATTAACCCAAAGTTATGTATTCAACACAAATATACAAATCTGTAAGCAAACTTACATTCATAAGGGTACATTCACACTAAGGCCCCATTCACATGTAGCGACTTATCGCGCGATTTCCGCCGCGATATCGCGCATTTTTGCCACGCGATATCGCAAGAAGTCGCCGGCTAATGATAGTCAATGGAGCTGTCTTAGCTCCATGTCGCGCGTCGCGGTCGCAAGTCGCTTCTACAGGACCCTTTTCTTCGGCGGATTTTGCTTTTTTCTATGGAGCCGACGGAGAAAGTCGCGCTACCGTCGCTGGAACGTCGCTGCAACGTCGCCCCGAAAGTCGCGCTATCCCGGCCGCTGCAAAGGTATGTCGCTACATGTGAATGGGGCCTAAAGGTACCCATACACTGGCCGAATTTCAACTGGTTTTAATGTATCCAGTTCACCATTCGTGTGTGGAGCTGTCGGCTCCCTTTCAGCCGGCATTCCTCAATCAGCTGATCGAAGGAGCCGGCTGGAAAATCTCAGTGAGATCAGAGCCGGCAGCCAACGAGCTGCCTACTCTGATCGGGTATTCTGACAGGGGCCGGCGGCACCTGTCAGAATACAATGCAAACAGTGGCGATTCCTTAATCAACGCGCTGTTTGTGTTGATGGAGAAATCACGTCAAGGTTGAACAAAAAAAATTGACAGGTGTGCGGCCACCTTTAGATGTATATAAACCCAAAAACAAACATTGGAGGTCCATTTACACTCCTACCATTTAATGTAAGCATTACAACAAATTGACACGCACTAAAACTTACGCATACCAAAATAGTGCCTGTTCCCATCTCAACGCTGCACTGCAATTGATTCTGAAAAATGCAACATATGCATTTTTTCTGCTTTTTAATGTGTTGGAAGGCCTATAAAAGTCAACTTAACATGTCATATAGTGAGGAGAATTTCTCAAAACTGGAGCAGACAAAAACTGAGGCACATGTGCATAGCAACCAATCAGCTTCTCACTTCAGTTTGTTCAGTTAAGATTTGAAAAAGAAAGGGAGAAGCTGGTTGATTGCCATGCACAACTGCTCCAGATTCTGTCTGCTCCAGTTTTGATAAATTCCCCACAATGTGTTTTGGGGGCAAGGTGCCAACCTGGGAACTATAGGCCGGTCAGTCTAACATCGGTAGTTTGTAAAATGCTAGAGGGCATAATAAAGGATTATATGGCAACAGGTATTAATAAACCTTGGTGAGGTGACTGGCTGTTAACCATAGTCACTCCAAATCCAGAATTAAAAAATATATTGGAAATGTGCGTTACAGGAGTTGTTAGTAACCCTTGCAGATATTCATTTTCTGTACTTGCTAACTTTCTAAAAATGTTCTTAGCCTGAAAACGGAAAACTGATGCAGCCACCACATCTAAAATTAAATATATCACATTTCTGTTCTCGTTTTTTTTTAGTTTTGGATAGAATGGGGAGGGATTGGAACCCCCATCAGGCTTTACTGCCATCTGGGTTTCCGTTAAAAAGATTTTCGCTCACCTTCTGTCTTGCTGACAACATTTTACCTGACAGGAAGTGACGGTAACCCTCCAAAAACACAGACAGAAAAGAAAAAAGGTAGAGTATGGAAAGGCTAAACAGTGTCCCTGTTGCAGATTTTCCCTCACTTCCTGTCTGGTGAAACTGTCATCATAAGGACAGGAAGTGCGGATATATCTCTGTAATGGAGCCCCAGGTAGCAGTATAATTACAGAGGGGTTTCTAATCCTTCCCCGCTCTATGAAAAGCTAGAATATTTGTTTCACTAGATTTACAATAATATTTGATTACTATTTTATTAAATGAATGGCAAAGCACCAACCCGTGCAATCTGCTGGGTTTTTAAAAAAATATTCTACAGCTGCTGCAGTCAGAATAAAAAATAAATAAATATAAAAACCAGCATAGGAATGAATATCTAGATTACTATTGGCTATTTCAATTTGCAATAGCCAATAGCAAGCTGGCTATTGTACCCACCCTCTGCTGCTGTCAATCATCAGAAGACCTGATGGAGAACTTCAGGTCCACCTCTGCTGATTGACAACAGCAATGGGCAGGTGCAATAGTTAGTCTGCTTTTGGCTATTGCAAACTAAAATAGCCAATATGAGCCTAGCTATTAATTCCTTTGCTGTTTTTTTTTTCCTCTGACTGACGGCGGCCGGTGGCCCTGATGTCAAGAAAGAAAAACAGAAACCAGGGAAAGGTTTTACTCTGCTAGATCAAGCAGAGTAAACCTTTCCGGGAGAATATGTTTCTCTCTCCCAGGTGTCCGGGAGCTGCTATCTTATAGCGGGAGAATCCCAGAACGTCCGGGAGAGTTGAGATGTCTGGAAATAGTTCCAGCTATCTCATCTTAAATTTGCACAAAAGTGTTGTAGATTTTCTAAAATGATGCCAGGGTTCTTGTATGTGGTAATTTTTAAAACAAATAGGCCTTAGAACAGCACTTTCAATCAATTTCCAGGGACGGGGTTAAACATCTCACATTATATTTTGGTTGTAAATTGAAAGGGAAATAGAAATGTATTTTCTTTGAGCACATTTCAGATTTCTATTGTGAGTTTGCCATTGTGCATCACTACTAAGCAGGAGGCCGGGCCCGCATATACTGTATATTAACCAAACATGGCTGCCACAATGTAGAGCTGTCATTACAAACTCTGTACTCGCTCTAACTTTACCCATTGTATCCAAAATCACAGATAAATGTTTTGGCAGGAGCAAGACCTTAAAGGGCCATGTTCCATCATATTTATGTAGACCTACCTTAACAATATCAAGCTCAGAGGCTGGGGGTGTTTGTTGAGTGTTACTAGCTTCATTATTTTCCTTTGTCAATTCTGAGTCAAAGAGCTTCTTGTCACTATACCGAAAAATAAAACAGAAATAAAAAATCTATCAAATACCATTAATGGCCATTGACGCATAAAGCTGTAGTCCAGTTAGTAGTCAATGCTGGACAAAGCAACAACTTCACTTTGGGGCCTGTGTCAATGGGCTTTGGGCTTGTGTCGATGGCATCAGTTCGACATCAGTATGAGACCCTTTGAGATGACCTAGCAGTATTTAACACTCACCCTCCCACTGCTCTAACCCTGTCCCAAGCAGTATCTAATACTCACCCTTCCATTGCTCTAACCCTGTCCCAAGCAGTATCTAATACTCACCCTTCCATTGCTCTAACCCTGTCCCAAGCAGTATCTAATACTCACCCTTCCATAGATACTAGCCCTGTCCCAAGCAGTATCTAATACTCACCCTCCCATTGCTCTAACCCTGTCACAAGCAGTACTTAATACTCACCCTTCCATTGCTCTAACCCTGTCCCAAGCAGTATTTAATAAATCACCCTCCCATTGTTCTAACCCTGTCACAAGCAGTATCTAATACTCACCCTCCCACTGCTCTAACCCTGTCCCAATCAGTATCTAATACTTACCCTCACACTGCTCTAACCCTGTCCCAAGCAGTATCTAATACTCACCCTCCCGTTGCGCTAACCCTGTCCCAATCAGTATTTAATACTGACCCTCCCGTTGTTCTAACCCTGTCCCAAGCCGTATCTAATACTCACCCTTCCATTGCTCTAACCCTGTCCCAAGCAGTATCTAATACTCACCCTCCTGTAGCACTAGCCCAGTCCCAAGCAGTATCTAATACTCACCCTCCTGTAGCACTAGCCCAGTCCCAAGCAGTATCTAATACTCACCCTCCTGTAGCACTAGCCTAGTCCCAAGCAGTATTTAATACTCACTCTCCCATTGCCCCAACCCAGGCCCAAGCAGAATCTAATACTCACCCTCTTGTTGCCTTATGTAAGCTCTGAGCCAATCCCAATTAGACACCATTCACACCTAAGCGTTTTGCTGCACATTTTTCATGCGCATGAAGAATCCCATTATTTTCAATGGTGCCAGTTCACACCTGAGCATTGTGTCGCTTGTCACTTGTAGCTCCAGAAAGTACATGAGCTTTTTTTTGGGTAGATTTGTGAATGTTTTGCCTCATAGATTTTAATGGGAGAGCCTAAAAAATGTGGATTTTTCACACAGGTTTGCGCCTAACAATTGCCTCTTCCTCCTAGTAACTAGCTTTCCTTTGGCTAAAGCAAAAAACATTGAGCCTGAAAAAATGCTTTAAAATCGACTGAAAAAGCTCAAGCCTCTCCATGTGGCATTAGTGGGCCAATCACCTTAAATGCCGTCTCGTGTGAGAAGTATTTTTTTGTTCCCCCGTAGCTGCATGAAGCTGCGGGAGAGCTAAGAAAAGAGGAGTATATGCAGGAGGGGTGCTGGGCATTAAAATGAATAAAAGGAAGAAAGGGAAGAGGGATGACCTCATCAGTGAGCTGCTGCTCCTTCCCTATCCAATCAACTGGCAGAGGGTGGGAAGTTTATCAAGGAAATAGAGCTTTGGAGCCAATTCTTCCTAAGATCATCCAATAGAAGGGTGAGTACTATTACTAAGACTGAAGAGGCAAACAGCACATAGAAAACACAGTAACATAATACATATGTGAGCCATAAAACAGATAATAAAAAAACATTGAAGCGTTTATTAGCGGCAGTGCAATGGTTAACGAATCTGACCTTAATTGATCATTTTTCTTCTCCTCTGTTGATTTCGCATTGTGGGAATTTTCCAAGAATTTCACAAGTATCTGGATAGAATTGGTGACCACATAGCGCAACGTCTCCTGAAAAATGCAGTCTGCGAGCTTCAGAAATCGGTTAAACTTTTCCTGCAAGTTCCTCCAATCAGATAGCTGAGTGTAGTTCGGCTTCAATGTGGAGTCAGATAAGAAAAGATCTTTCAGTCCCGCATATTCCGCTACCTGAAATACGAACAATAAAGTCCATCTAATGTGTGGGCAGGGAGGTCTATCTATTTATCTCACAAAATGGATAATGTAGCAGCAAGCGGGAGATTCAGTGGGGGGAATTTATCAAAACTGGAGCAGACAGAATCTGGAACAGTTGCCCATGGCACCCAATCAGCTTCTCTCTTCAGTTTAACTGCTAAGCTTTGAAAATGAAAGATAGAAGATATGGGCAACTGCTCCATATTCTGTCTGCTCCAGTTTTGATAAATTCCCATCATTATATTTTGTGTATAGTGCCACTTTATTCCACAACGCTTTAAAGTGGGGAACACAGACAGTAAACACTTCTGAATATAGAACATAACTGAAAACAGGTATAAGGGCATCACTAATTAAAGCTAATTATCTAACGGTGACTAGACAAATTAACAACAGGCACATAAAATATCAAACCAGTTAGTCCAGTCTGTGTCAGCACAGAGCATAGGTACAGCAAGGACTCCATGGTTTCAAATTTAACATTGAAAGCATTTTGTTATATCTTTTCAAAAGTACAAAAATACCTGTCGATCCTTCCAGAAATCCAGTGCTGTCCTGTGCACTCTGCTGTGTTATTTCAAGATCCCTGCCCAGGTTTCTCCTGTGAACTGAAGAACACCTCCCCATGACATGGAGAAGAGGAGTTGTGTAGACCTAATACACTGCCTTTCCTAGGGTGACAACACTGCTTTCCTCACCAATACAGTACATTAAGCGAGTGTTGTCACCCTAGGACAGGAAGTCTGTTACTAGCATTATCACCAGGTAAAAAAAAAGCCCAATAGGAAAATGAATGCGGCCACCACAACTAAGGACTGGTCTGTTAAAATATATTACGCTGTTGTTTCTGAGTTTAGATACACTCTAATGTAGAGGTCTGATGCTGTATGTTTTTTGAATGGCCGTGTGGAGAGTGAGGTGGAGACACAATCGTAGCGCTGGGGTCTATGAGACCTGAAGCGCTTACATCTGAGTGAGCCGGAAGTACAGCAGAAACTGTACTAATACCAGCATGTAAATGAACAGATTTGCTGGATGTAGAATAAAGCCAGCGCAATGGGGGTTGCTTTTGTGTCAATGGAATGTATACCTGCTCTAACACGGGTACGTTTATTGTACTGGATTTGGGCTTGAAAGCGTTTAAGTTAAAAAAATACCTGTTGATCCTGCAGAAAATGCTTTAAGGTGATAACTTTCTCTGCTTGCTGCTTGTGCTAACTGTTATCAAATACATTGTTATCTAAGGCTATAGAACTAAACCTGAATCTATGTTATAGACCAGGGGTAGCCAAACTCCGGCCCTCCAGCTGTGGTGGAACTACAAATCCCATGAGGCATTGCAAGATTCTCACAGCCACAGACATGACTCCTGGAGAGAGATGCATCATAGGATTTGTAGTTTCACCACAGCTGGAGGGCTGGAGTTTGGCTACCCCTGTTATAGACAACAGATAGGAGTGATGGTAGTCCTATCATGTTTCTGTTGTCTTCATACAGAAGGGTGAGTAGGTGTTATTATCCTAGGACCGGAAGTGTCTTAATGGCAGAATTACCAGGTTAAAATGAAAGAGAAGAAGCTTGAAAAATGAAAAGGAATGCAGCCACCACACCGCATAGGGCTGCAATATATAACATTTTTGTTTTTAGGTTTAGATGCACATTAATAAGTGTAACTGCCTGGGGACAAGGGTGTTCTTAGGATGGAATCCCACTTGCAAGCCAAGGCTCTCCTGGGTGGAGGCACAGTTAATACAGAAAATTCAGGAATAGTCCCCAGTCTCCCATTTAGCAGAACAACGTTTGTGTTTGGAGAGACTTGGATCTGAGTCTTGGGGAGAAATAAAGATTGTTATTCCAAAATCAGCTCTTAGTGGTTCCAAAGTGGTAGTATTATCAGTCCGATAATTTTTTAGTACACATGAAAAAAGCCAACACGTTTTGGGGGCCCAAAAATCTCCCCCTTCATCAGGACTTAATATGCCGAACTAGGGATGCACCGATACTAGTATTGGTATCGTGGCCGATACCGAGTATTTGGGCGAGTACTCGTGCTCATCGAAATGCTCCGATATTATTCCCAATACAGGAATTTCCGGTATCAGGAAGCCGGGCGGTGAGTCAATACATGTCGCCCGGCTTCCTGATCGGCCGGGAGGCCGGCTCCATGCTCTGGCTTCCCAGCCAATCAAGAAGCCGGATGGCGTGTAATGACTCACCGCCTGGCTTCCTGATTGGTCCGGAAGCTGGCCAATCAGGAAGCTGGGCAGCGAGTCATTCCCTGTCCCCTGGCTTCCTGATTGGCAAGAAAACTGGCTTCCCAGAAGCTTGGAACTGGCTTCCCGGCCAATCAGGAAGCCGGGCAGCGAGTCATTACATACCGCCCAGCTTCCCAGCTGATCAGGAAGCCGGGTGGTGAGTCATTACACGCCGCCCAGCTTCTTTAATGGGACTACTAGTATCGGTATTGGGTATCGGTGAGTACTGGAAAAAAATAACGGTACTCGATACCGAAAAATCACTATCGGTGCATCCATACCGACAACCGATAGGGTAAATCTGGACAAGGATTATTGAAAATACTTTCATAGGGTATGCTGCTGTATTGAATCAACAGTCAGTAGAGCTGCTGCATTGGCATTTAAAAAAAATGTACAATAACATTTTACTGGACTGATAACACTACTGTGGTACTCCCCTTTTTATTCTTCATTCCACCAGAGGCTCAGATCTCCTAGTTTACACAGGTCTGCGAAAGTGAGTGGATGTAATACTGCAAGAAGAGGGTCATCTGACACGACCCCCCCCCCTTTCCTCAAGACAGGCTTAAAAATACGTCTTTGTTTGTTAAATATACTAAGAAAAAGGTACTTACAAGAACAGAAGATTGTCATGCTTATAAAATCCACAATTGAGCGCACAATCTTCAGTTCAATTGTTTTTTTTTTTTCCTTTCAAATATTTTTTTTAATCTTCCTATTTTTTTAACATTTTTGAAATCATGTAGCAAATTTTTTTTAATTGCTATTCTGCTCAGTACCACGGAGGTACCGAGCAGACTAGCCAAGCCAAATGCCGCTTGGCGGAATTTGGCTTTCCACTCACTGCCGTTCGGCCCCCATGAGAATAGGGGTGAACAGCAGCGAGTGAGCTGCCGGAGCTTCGGCTCAGCCGATCCAGATGTTGGATCATCTGGGTTGAAGTCCTTCTGTACTTCAGCTCAGCCGAACATGCAGAGCATGTTCGGCTGACCGAAGACAGCCGATGTACAGATGATCTCAGCCGATGTACTGCTGGAATCAGCTGTACTGAGCCGGAGTGAATAGCTGAACGTCGTTCGGCTCTGTACACTTCGGCTCAGTTATTCACTCGACTACCTTTGGCAGCTTAGTGAATAACCCTGTTAATATTTTTTAATGAATGAATAAATGCAATAATTGGTGTTATTTGTATATCTTCCTGGAGTTTCACTTTGAAGATTCAAGAGGTAAAATGAAATAGAGATGTCATTAATAAATTGTAGATATCCATGCCCTTATATTCACAAGAATGATATTAAGCTGAGATCTGACCTTGAGAAAAGTATGGTTGATGGCATGAATGGCTTTCCCTCGGAGTGTCTGAAGCCTGGCCAGGGATTTGTCGCATTGTCTAGTCTGGATGTCACAGAACTCTTTCAAACAATAGCTGCGAGAATCATCCACCTGTAGAGTCAGAACATTCCTCAATTACCTTTTAGAAACCTTTATATAATGTGTGTACGAAAAGGTTGTACAATGTTTTGAATATAACTGTCTGTTCTGTTTCACGGTATACTCCTACACTGCTGAGCTGCAGTCATCCTAATGACTTGCACTATTCTGGATGAGAAGAGTCTGAATTACCCAATCAAGTCTAGTAGTCAATCTAAAGCCCCACCACTGAGGAACTTTAGATTAAAACGGCTATACTTTGTATTCATTTTAGCTCTACTAAAAAAATTAAAAGGAAACGCTATGCAAGGATAATTCAGAAATTGAAATATTTGACATTTTTGACACTTATGTAGAAATTATTGGGCAAGAAATCAGTAATATATTAAAAAATATAGCCCCCATTATAACAATTTAACTTTAAAGAGTTTACATTTTGATAGTTTCTTGAAGCTTTGACATAAGGTTTAATAAATGTCTTACATTTCCTTTACAGAAACCAATGACACAATTGTTTTTTAATGGGCAGTCAGTGCAGTAATACCAGCAAGATATTATCAAACACTGTAGTAGCAAATACAGGGATTCAAAGAGCAATTCCAGCTAAAATGAAATTATCCATCATGGTTGGAACAGAGCAAAGTCGGAACACTCAGGGGATCCTCCTGCTTTATGGCACCCAGGTGGGAAGTTTTCCACACTGTCATATACCAGGGGTAGGCAAACTTTCTCCCTCCAGCTGTGCTGAAACTACAATTCTTATTAGGCATTGATTCTGACAGCCACAGGCCTGACTCACGGAGGCAGATTCGTGATGAGATTTGCTGTTTCACCACACCTGGAGTGCCAATGTTTGCCTACCCCTGGCATATACTAAAGCTGGCTGAATACTGCCCTGTAGTTTACACTGCATAGGAATATACTGAGATAGACGAAGTTACACCAAAAAGCCAAACTTCTCAGCACGCCTCACCATAGTGTGGGGCGATATCCCTTCGCTTGGGTGCCAGATAGAAAGGAAGGAAAGCCTTGCAAAAACTATTGCTCTTTAGAGTGATAAGAGTACTTAAAAAAAAAAAAGGCTTGTCCCACTTCATGTTCGTTTATCAGTTATCTGTTTGCAGTATGCATTTAAAACAGGGGCAGCTTTTTTTTACCTTAATAAGCAGAACAGGTGTGTCTCTGCCTTTGTTATCTCGCTGAATGTCCACAACATCCTCCCACAATGAATGGAGGTATAGTAGGCAGTCCTGGAATAACTCATCAACTGTAAACAGCTGCTGGAGAAGTATTGCCCTGTTTCAAAAAACCACAAGACAATTATTTTTAATCGCAATGATTACACCTCTGTGACCTGAAGGCAAGTACTTCAACAAAAGCTGCTTTTATCATTTAAATGTGCACAGCTATACACATTTGTTAACAAGTGGAGTTTTGCTTTAAAGTGACATTAAAGGCTAATTCAACTCCAACGCTGGTGTCGCTTTCTGATCCAGCGCAGACTGCTTTTACTTCCTGTGTCCCACATAATCTGTCTGGCATGCATGTAGGCGGGGTTCACTCTTGGGGTGTTGCGTGTGTGTTCCCTTTGGGTTGGCTCTGGTAACCCCGTGTATGCAACTCGAAACCAGGCACCCCATGGCCAGGGGCCACGGCTCTGGCCTCGTGCAAACACTCCCACACGTGTAGTACTGCGCACACAGGGCCTCATGGCTTCAACCGCCTCTGCGGTATTCAGCGCTTCCTCCTCTGTAGGGAGAAAGGCCACCATGAACGGCACCCTGTGCCGGGCATAGCCCCTTTGCACACCTACCCTCCTCAGGATGGTTACAGCCGCGATACAGTCCAACATCACACTCCTGTAGAACCCCACCTTCTCAGAGGTTGGAGGGAGAAGAACCAGTCCACACAGATAGTCTTTTCTTGGTTTTACTTGAAGGTATTAACAGAACAAAGCATACGTTCAGCCACCCCCGAATGGGATGACGGCACAGTTCTTGTTAGTTGCATGGTGTTACAGATTAGAGACAGAGAGAAGAATAGCCCAGGTGCAGCCCAGAGTCCACGACTTACTTTGGCCAGAGGCCCACTGGCAAATATCGTCAGTCTTACAGCTTCTCACTATTCTCCGGAATCCCATCCTTGTCAGTCCTAGCTCGGTGGTTTCCCCCTCCAGGGGAAACTAGGGAATCTTTATAGCTCTACATAGTCCTAGGCCTGGTCCTGTCCTTCCCATGGACCAGCCTATGTTTTAGAATCAGTCTCCCTCCGGAGACTCTGCATACAGTCTTAGACTTCTGCTCTCCTGTACTGCTCTACACTTCTTCCCCTCCCGGGCGCCCCCTATAAATCAACTCTCCTGGGACACAGAGTCTCCCCAGGCCAGAGCTGCATCTATCTCCAGGGCCCCATGGCCATTGGCTGTACTGAACCTACCTACATGCACGCTCCTGGCTGCGTGCATTCACTTCCATTGTGTCCCTCCTCCTCTTCCCTTTGGTGGTATCCAATGCGCATGCGCTCGCACACATCATTTCCTGCATGGCTGTTCAATAAACTGTGTTCTGCAGCCGGGAGCGAGCGGTGCAGCCACAGGTAAGTTTTTAGATATTAGCTAACGTTTTTCTTTTTAAAAATGTTTGGGCATATATCTACTGCTTGCTAAATATGACTGTAATACTACTTCAAACCCCAAGATAGCTTCCAACTGTTCCCCACTATATCCAAAACTAAAAAATATTGCTCTAGTTAGGCAAGCATTGCATAGGAAACGAATGTAGTTTGCGGAAGGCAGTAAACTGTCCACACAGGCAGGGCTGGATTTCACACAAGGCCAACCAAGGGCCTCGGGGCAGCAGGCAGTAGAGGGGCAGCAGGGGTGTGGAATTCCTATATCCCGACGCCCAGGACAAGTAGTTCCGGGCGCCGGGCGTGTAGCTGTGTTCTACATTTAGCCGTGCTTTGGGAAAGCAGGGCTAAATGTACAGCGGGGAAGCTGTGGCTTGTTCTGTACAAGTGATCTCAGCGATGTCCCAGAGATCACTTGTATGTAGCCTGCAAGGCTGTCATTCTCCATTGGGGGGGGGACGCATTGAGGAACCTGGCCTTGGGGCAGCAGAGAGAATAAATCCGGCCCTGCACACAGGGAAGAACTTGGCTGGGCCAGAACGATGAAGAAATGTTGACAATACTTGACCATTCAAAGCCACATAGGAATCTGATGCTGGAAGATGTAAAAAGGTGTGTAACAATAAACCATGTCTTTTAAAAACATCCATCTTCCACCATGCCCACTAATCATTGCAGCACACCATGGCACTCTTTGTCTGGTACACTATAGCACATATAAATCCATCCCTACCATAAAAGAGCTAGTTGATTGTGTTTGGCCCCCAGGTCAAAGGTTCCCTGGGAAGGGAGGGTAGGGCACGGGAGTTAGCCACTGCCTTTTTTCCATTTGTGAGGGTTTTTGGGTACTTTTTTCAGTCATGCTCCTAAGCTAAGTTTTTGAAAAATTGCCATCATTTAAATTACCATCAAGACATGCTGAATGGTAGCAAAGTCTATCACATCTAACTCTTTCTCAACCTAACATGCCATGGCAACAGTTAAACAACATGGAGGCATGTTGCACTGGAGGAGAAGACATACAGATAACACTTCCAATATACACTGCAACCTTCAGAATTAGAGTAAATAAGTAGCAAGTCTGCTTCCCTACCCACCTTCCCCATAGCATCATATTGATTAGCATTTGATTTTTCTAAGCCTGTGACTTAAAGTGATCCTTTGTTGATGGCAAAAAAAAAGCTACCGATGTATACAATAGTGACAATAGTTTTTTGTGTAGCTCATTTTAAACCTGGCAGCAATCTTGCTATACTTTGTAATTGGCCATCACACCCTTTTGTGTTATAATATCTAATAGTTATATTTTAATGTCATATGCCGAATGCGCACCTGCTGTTGTCTGTCTTTGATCGATGGACATTCATTTTCCAGACTGTAAATGCTTTGCAAAGCCTTGGAGAAAAACAGAATAATTACAGCAATTAAAACAATAATATTAGCAACAGAAATAAAAATGTATGGAATGAATGCTTTTCAGTAGATCCTATGTCATCTCTGTTCACAGCTTAAAGGTCAGCTCCCACCAAGACATCTTTTTTGGTCTTGGATAGAGTGGGGAAGGGTTAGAAGCTCAGTCAGGTGTCCTCGATGGGGAGATTTTTCCTGCCCGAATTTAGAGCATATCTCATATTGACAATAAGTCACCATTGACAGGACAGTTATACAAGGCAGAGAAATACTCACCCGGTCCCAAGTGGCACTACCTCACTAGCTGGATGAGCAATTGCTCCATTGCTGATGAGTGATAGTTTGCAGGGCTTCCGACAGTAAAAGGAGCAAAGCTTGGAAAAAGGTAAGTATTGGGTCTGCACTTCTTAGTGATCCTGATGCTGGCAAATTTTTACCAGCAACAGGACTGGCATGTGTCTTGGGTGTAAGTGTTAAACATGTAGTATAGAAAACCATCTGCCAGTGTACTTGGCACTGTAGCACCCTGTAAGCAGGAGTGCTTAGTAAGTTAGTATTGTCAGATTGTATTCAGTCTGATGCTGATTTGTAGTCTATGCTCATCCTATTTCCCCTAATCAGTCTGTCATCCTTTGCATCTGACTGCTGTTAGATGTACCCTGGCCACAGGGCAGAGCAACCAAAATGAGAGATTGTTATGGGTATGTATGTCTCCCTAGCCAATCATTAGGAGGCTGATGGCCAGTGGTGCATGCTGGGAGAGGACATAAATATTTGGGGTGGATCATGTGAGCTTCTCTCTTCAACCCTCGGGCCCTGCCTGGGGAGAGGCTGCTACGGACTGTCTGATTTGGCTAGGCCTGAAGCCTAAGGGTCTAGCCATGTGCTTACACTGAGGCCTGAGTCTGGGGGACCAGTGGCTACTACTGATACCAAGGATGAAGATGACCAATGACTTCTAAATGTAAGTACTGCTCGGCCAGGTACTCTACACACAGATTGCCATGTCTTACTTAAAGGAGAACTATGGGGTTGGGGCTTTTCCCCATAGTTCTCCTTAGGGTAACGGGAGGACACAAACTAGCGTCCTCCCGTCACCCTAAGCTCAGTATACCACGAGCTACAATTATGTCTGGATCCGCCCAGCTGCGTGAGTGACAGTTCGCTCTGCCTATCTAGAGGCAGAGCCAGCTGTACCCGCCCCCCTCCCCGTCCATTCCGCCAGTCAGCGCTGGAGGATCGGAGCGGGGAGTGGGGAATCCAGTTCCTCCCCTGTCATGGCAGAGAGCCGTGACAGGATCGAGAAGTGAGCGAACGCCGGTATGTGTTTGCTCACTTCCCGATCTACTGAGCCGACCTGTGACAGTCTCATTGTCACAGGTCGGCTAGAACTAGGAGGTGAGTGAAAAGCACTCGCCTCATAGTTCTCCTTTAAAGTTCCTAGTCTGTAATGGCAGCAGTTACTCTGTCCTATTGCTCAAAGGAGTCCAAACCAGCCTGGATGATACTGACCCACAACCTCTCTCCCTGAAGGTCTTCAATAAAGTTTCACAGCATCAAATCTAAGTCTGGACCTCACTTTTATCGGTCACAATAAAGGGTGGTAAGTGCCTTTGGGGCAGCCGTACACCGAATTCCCTATACTGGCTATAATGGATGACCCACCTTTCCTCTGCGGCTCCTTAGGGGGTTCGCTACAGCACCCTTTAAAGTCCTAAGTCATAGCTGATATTTTTTGGTAATAAAGTGTCATATTAAGAAACCTAATCCTCCTGTCCCAACGCACTCCTGACCAGACAAAAACCCAAATCCAACTGGGTGGGTGCGGTGGTGACGGATGCCTCTGTGAAATGTAGATAGATGAAAGTAGTCACTCGCACTCCATGATATTAATGTCAATGCTGTTTATTGACTGAGATAACACACATCTCCTTAGCTTATCATGGAGTGCGAGTGACTACTTTCATCTATCTATATTAAGAAACCTGCCTAGAGCCCTGGATTACTATGTTACAGGAGAAATAAATCTTTACTTCTTACTGTATGTGCTGGAAACCTGTGACATACATGCTATTTATATATTTTATAGTATAAGTAGTGGCATTTATTTTATACAGTAAACAAAAAAATGATTTTGTTAAAATAGAGAGTTAAAAACTTATAACAATACCTTTGGAAATGTAATAACTTTTTCAAAGGTTCAGAAAGATTTAGCTTCCTTCTTACCTGAACTGGGAGAATACTCGCATATTCTTAATTGTGTAGTATTTCTGTTGCTCGTGTAACCATTCAGTAATAGGCACAGTCTCCATTATCTCTGCTCCGTTCACCATGTATATCTGAGGAATGACAGAGTAAGTGCAAATAAAAGATACTGCCAGCCGAGAGACAAACAAACAAAAGCTATACTTATTGAAGCCACAGAAATGTATATGCAGTCAGATAGACATTGTACCAACCACCTCCATTCTTACCCTTACTTTCTTGTTACAGGTAGATAACTATGACTGCGCAGTTCTATCGACACCAAAGTTAAACCCAATGTACTGTGTAATGTAAAAGACCTGCTTAGACACACATCCTTCCCTTCTCTGCAATAGAAATCTGCATAGGAATACTTGCGCTGAGGGGTGTGGTTGCAACTCAGCTCTGCCAGCACAGAGCACTGAAGTGTAAGAGCAAGAAGCAGCATTTTAATTGAGAAAAATATATATTTTAAAGCTTAACGGCAGACAGACATAAAAGACACTAACTGTATTTTCTATTGCAAGCAGTGTAAAGACTTGAATTTGACTTGGTATCAGCCTCTTGCAGCCCATGTACAGCAAAGCTCAGGCTGGGAAAGTGAGAAGCAACACAATGAGTCAGTCAGTTGTACTGCAATGCTCATGTGCTAACTAGGAGCATGCTGGCAGGAGGAAAGGCCAAAGGGAAACAGGGAAATGAGCTCCTAATTCTACTTTTTCTCCTTCACTGTTCAGACAAAGGCCGAGGAAGGGAAAATACTTGTAAGTGTTACTTGAAGGGGTTCTAAACCCTCCCGTTTTTTTGCCTATATCCACTGCTATCAAGCAGTAGATATAGGCAAACAGTTTAAAAAAAAAAAAAAACCGCTAAAACAGCGGTTTAAACTTACCTTTTTTTCTTTGCGCGCTCCCACGCCGAGAATCAGGAACTGCTCGTACGGCCGCAAAGGATCTTGGGGCGAGCGCATGCGCAGTTACGATTCTCGGTCGGGAAACGAGCAGAGACGCAAGGTAAGTCTATGGACGCGTGCACCCGCCTGCAGACACTGATGGATCGGAAGTGCCTGCAAGCAGAGGGGGGTCAGCGCTGGATCGGAGAGCCGCCGTAACGCTGGAGGGACAAATGAAAACATCAGGAAAGAAGAAGAAGATCGGAATAAAAGACATCATTTAAGGTAAGTGCTGACATTAACATGGGTGGAGGGAAACATTTTTTTGACTTTAATGTCACTTTAACTGCAGCAGAGTAAAAACAGGTCCCCTGCCCTACCAAACAGCATATTTCTGTGTAAATCACAGGACTGGATGGAAAAATATACAAATTCTTTGACAGGTAAAATATTATTACAGGTATTTATATAGTGCCGACAAATTACCCAGAACTTTACATAGTTGCACATTCACATGTGCTGCCCGCAAGGAGCTTACAATCTAGGCTCCCTGTCTCAGATGCTTGTATGCATAATTGATTGGGGTTAGTGGATCAGACTATAAAGGTGGCCATACACTATACAACCATCGCAAGACTTTTGTCTTGCGATGGTTGTAAAGTAATTTAAAAAAACGTACGATCTGCCCTTCTTGGACAGGCAGATCGTACTTGCGATCATGGCAAGCCCGCCCCCCTGAGGTGCGGGCTTCCGATGACCGCAATGCTGAACGGGCAGTGTGCGCGTGCGCACACCGGCCCGTGCGGCATTGATCTTACGATCATGCTAAAAACCAGCCGAAAATCGTACGATTCTCGGCTGGTTTTCTAGCATGCTCCTTAAACAAAAGACGTGCGACCGTACAGTAGAATCGGTTGCACGTCTTCATTCACACTGCACGATCCTCGTACGATTTCCCACGATTCTCATACGGGAATCGTGCAGTGTATGGGCACCTTAAGTGTTCAATTTAGACAGGAGCCAATTAACCTCTCAGTAAGATGCCAACTTGGAGTGTGGGAGGAAACCCACACAAGCACAGGGAGAACATGCAAACTCCTTGCTGATAGTGACCTGGCCGTAATTCAAACCTGTGACTCCCAGTGCTGTAAGACAGGAACACTAACCACTACACCACTGTGCTGCCCAAGCAGCTCGCTTACATTAGTCACCAACCATAACATGCAGGGATACAGAACTATAAAGTGATCAGAAGGTGCCAAACTTCAGACAGGATTTAGCATAACATTTTTATTTATTTGCCATTTCTATGTTTTAATGGAAACCTAAACTAATTAATATTTGGAAGCATCCATTGTTGACTTCCATCTGAGAAAAGCTATTTGCCTGGCTGGCTCTGGCGTGAACACTTTCCGAATCACTAACCTCAATCAAGCATGCAGCCAGCAAAGGCACATCAAAGTCAGAAATTCTGCTCCTGATCAGAAAATAAGAAAGTACTGAAACCCTGGATCAGCATGACAGCCAGGATAGCAGCATTTTTTGGAAATATAGTTTAATCTTAGCAGTTTATATAATTTCTCATTATAGGGGTCCTCTAAACTTCATCCTAGGAAATCAAATGTATTAATTTTCAGCACTTTCAGTTCCTGGATTCTATATTGACCACCTTGGTTAAATATGGGTGTGTCTAAATTCCACCCAAAATTTAGGAATTTGTTTTGGCTGGTGTTGCTGTTCAAACTATTATTCCAAATAGTCCTCACAGGAAAAATGTTGTTCTTTATATCTACAGGGGAAACCACCAATATCTATTCACAATTGCTACCATAAGGGAGAGTGTGTGATGGAAATATTTGGAGACATGCAGGCAGATGGTTTATAAATTGCAGTCAGGTTTAATCATACAAAAAGAACACAGACAAAACTGGACTGTGAAAATGTGTAGAAATCCAAAGCAACCAATCAGAAATGATATCACTGGCCTAAATATAAGCTGAATGAGTTGGTGTGCTAAATGTTGCTACACTTTAAACACTATCACCGATGTTTGCATTGATTTATGGCATACGTCTGATAGTTGTGACCTGTTATCTTGTATGACTAGAAAAAAGGTTAACCCATCATAACGTTTATGGAGCAATCTAAATATTCAGACTTTAATTATTAAAACTATGCGAGCTTATATATGAACAACACTGCACACTCAGAAGCTGGGAGACAGTATGTAAAGCTCGGTAGCAGACAGGTTACCAAAAACAATCTGACAAATATAAATCAGTATAAAGACCTAAGATAGCTGACATACACAGTGCGAACCGGCTGAAATTTGCACAGTGAGTGCCCCTGTTGGGACCCCTTCGTCTAGTATCCTCCAATCAGAAAATCAAAGTAGCCGGATAGAAAATGTTTGAGCAAACAAACAGCAGCCAATCAGCTGTTTATAACAGTATATGGCCAGCTTAAACCAATCAATTGCAGTCACTGTTCAGATATTCTGACATTGGAAGGTGCCAGTTGCTTGAATAAAATAACCCGGCAGGGGAGGTTACCCCATATATAACCTGGCAGTGGAGGTTTCACCACATAGAAAGTTCTGCTCTAAGCCCAACTAATTGGAGTTCACTGTATGGGACAGAGCACATTAATATAGTGGACCTCAGGCATGGAGGTGGCCAATCTTTTTCTTGTACAAGTTTAAGAAGAATATTTGGTAACTTGAGAAAAGTTGACATTAAATCACATCACTAACATATGCAACAATTGCACCCACATGTTGTCACTATTGTCATGTGCACTTGTAATAAGACCAGGTCCCAATCAGCAGACAGTGAGGTGACACCAACAGAGAAAATGGTGTCACCCACCTGGCTGTGCTTGGAGTTCAGCTTTAAAATCCAATTTTCAAAAACTCTAGGTCTACAGAAAGGTTGCTTGAGTTGGGGCTGTTCTTGACTCTGGACTTGACTCTTGACTTAAATGGTGGCCAGCAGTACATACACAACTCAGCAGCCTAACAAAAGATCTGAAAAAACTGCTGGATTGGGGGAAATCTGTACAAAGCTGGATATAATGTATCTGGGTGATGGGATATGTGCCTTATGTCATACACAGAAGCATTAGCTGCTCCAGCAGACATGTCTGTAGTTGGGAAACAGGGCCAGAAATGGTGATACTGCCTCAGCTCTGATGTAGAGTTACACAATGCAGTCTCTGGGAACTGTGCTAGTTTAGTTTTCGTACCTTAGACAACCGTGAGGCACTGACAGTCCAGTACATGCCAGACTGTACTGCAGTAGAAGCTGGAACCACTTGGAGATCATACGGATCATATCGCATAGAGGGGTCATCATGACCCCTGGGCAAACAGTATACAAATTCTCCATCGTCTTCCTTCATTAGAGTTTGTTCCTAAACAGGGAAATCGTAGACACATTACACACAGTATTTTATGGAAATACATGCCTAATGATTTAAGCCTTGCCCTCAATATGTGGCCCTGTGCTATGCCCATATTGCAGAAAGATACCCCACTTTTGCTTTGTGTACAGGCCCAGAAAAGGAAGTGCATGGAACACTTAGGGGGACTACTCACAAGAACAGCAGCTGCAGAGACAAACTGTCAGATGCTACGGGGACTGGTTCTATGTTATTCTTGGCTCGACACACCCTTTAGATCTGGGAGTCTGGGAAGTGCTTGGTGATGTCTGGTACCCATAACTGGTACACATAGCAAAATGAATGACATGACTACAATCCTGCCAACAGCCTGGTGTGGTTGGGAAGACACAGACTGACCTGATTCTAGAAAATGACATTTTCAAAAGCAGGAGAATTTACTGTTTAAAGTTTAACCTTACCTCAATGAGCCGCTTATATTTATCAGACTTTGACAATCTGGGCACCTGCTGGAGACCGGGAGACTGTGTTTTCCAGCCGAGTCTGGCTCTCAGCCTGTGGATGTGCAATATGATGCTGTCATCTGGAACTGGAAATGATGAGAGCAAGTCACAAAATGATGGTACGGATACTGCATGATACTACAGATTACTTTTTCTCAAAGAATTTGTAGCTTAGTTTATTAAAGTGTCTTAAAACTGTAACCCATAGCAATCTCTATTGTTCAACCCCCCTCCTTTACATACATCCCTTTGCCAAACATTTGGTCGGGTAGAACGATCTTGTTAAACCCAAAAGCGGCTACCACAGTTCTATAGTCAACCTCCCTTGTCTATGACTACTCTTAGTATTTAGTTGTTTAAAAGAAAACCAAACTTCTTTCTAAAGATTTTTAAATACACATATGACAGTGATAGGATTAAAGGGACACTGTCACCTTATCCATCAAGAGCAAACTAATTGGCTATATACTTACCTACATATGTGGTCACGTGACACCCTGGATCTTCTATTTCTGCACTGAAGAATGGGAGAGTGGCCACATCCCTCCCTGGTGATTTGGATACTTCCTAATGGCTGTTCATAGGTGGGATTCTTACAGAGTCCTGAAGATTAAAGCAGTGGCGTGATGATGTTACAATGAAGGGCAGCAACAAGACCAGCTGCCACCGTGAGGATCACCAGTCTCTTCTTACTGAAGAGGTGCCACAAAGGGTCATTTTGACAGCGGACTTGGGTCTTTTGTCAAAGGGTCAGCGGGCGAATGGATGGGAGAGATTGGAAGGGAGTACATTTGGTACAACAATTTGCTACTAATATAATGAAGAATATGGAAGATCAAGCTTGAAAACAATGTGAACCTGGTTGTCAGAGTCACCTGTTGCCACATTTCCAGGGAGGAGACCTTCCACCATAGTTCTCACCTCTGTTCTCACTCACCTTGGAGTTCTGGGTGTTCCTGCCTTCTAAGGCTGTTTTCTCTACTCCTGTTGCATTTAGCATAATATAAATTACGTGAATTAAATGACCGCAGCAGACCTGGAAACTCAGACGTTGGGATCTCATTATGAGAGTGCTTGGAGATATGAATAATTGTTGCATGATTTAACACTTATTCCAAAGACTAAACTATTGAAGCTCATGGAGGATTGTGGCTTTCATTAGATGCCAGAACAAGCTGGCTTCCCACACTTCTGCCTGTGCGCCATGGGAATATATGACAGTAAAAGGCTGATAGACTACTGTGAGTCTTCATTTCAGAGAGCACGAGTCAACAGAATAAGACACTGATGTTTCTTTCAGTGAAACACAAAATGCCTTGTTCTATGTTATAATAAACACCACAAAATGAAATATTCATTTAGTATGGTGGGTGATTCTTGGTGAACCCTTAATGTTTACCCGAGGCTTTGTCCTGACAGGTGTCACTCCGCAGATAGACAGGTTGTGTAGGCATATCCCCTCCAGATATGCCCGCCACTTCAAAGCAGGTCCGAGCGTCTTTCCTCTCTCTTCCTCCTGATTTTGAGGACAACATTGCATCCCCTGGGCTTACACTGCTCATCACTTCTCTCCTTTGTTTCCTGGAAGAGAGAAGAACACAAAGGTCGGGGATCTGGCAAGACTTCCAAACAGATGCTGATTTGTTACATAATAATAAGCAAGAAAATTACCTGCCTGCCAATCATTAAGGTGAATCTGTTACTATAAACTACAATATACTATACAGTTAATATAGTTACTATAAACTCCATAGCAACATGCAAGTGTATATGGCATAATTCTGCTGTTTAGGATCACTTATCTTATTTTTAATAAGGTTTGCTGGTATATAAACACTATTATCACCAGACCTGTTCATAACTTTGTTATTCTTAAGACCCCATTCACACTGAGCGACATGGAGAATTGCGCGTTTTCCCGCGCGATTTTGTGCTGAGCGGCATTGAGCTACATTGTGCAATATTGAGCGACAGCGAACATTTTGTCGCGCTACGTAGCGCGACTTTTGGGAGAGACTTCGCCGCTGCTACATTGGGCTGAGCCTGTAACCAATCAACAGCGGTCTTGATGTGACATCATTCTTTCCTTCCATATTGCTGTGCAAAAGTGACCCTTCTGTTGCGCAATATCACCGGTAATGCGCGACTTTGCGCGACACCATTGAGTCTATGGGGCCAAATCGCACGACATCCACCGGAAAAAAGGTCATGTTCGAGCTACAAGCTTGAGCGACGAGCTACAGGCGACATTGAGCTTTGAGATGTGAACAGCTCCATTGAAATACATTGGACAAGCTACATTGAGCGACATTGCACGGAAATATGCGCGATTTTGGAGCGGAAATCGCGTGATAAACCGCTCAGTGTTAACGGGGTCTAAAGCCCAATTGAACCTTCAGTTTAAATCAGCTAAATAAATTACAGGTGCATCAAAACAAATGGTGCTCCATGTCTTACAGTTTGTTTTCTTTTTAAAGAAGAACTCAAGGAATTAAAAAAAAAAAAACTTACCTTTGCAGTGGGGCCACATTTTATGGAACTTAAAGTGATATTAAAGTCAAAAGGTTCATTCTATATCTTACAATGGATGCTGCTGCTTGATGTTTAAAAAATGTTAGGTTCCTGCAGAATCAGCTGCTCCACTAAGCACTGATATCCTGCTGTAGGGGGGCTCCTTTCTCTTTCCTATGGATCCTATGAAGCCACCCTTGAGGGTGTTAGTAAGCTCTGGGTGCCTCATTCCTCTTTCTCCCTTCTCCAAGCTAGCACATGGGCGGCTGTTGGAGACTGCTCTGTTCCTTGTGATTTTGACTGAACTGGAAGTTCAAGGAAACCAAGCTGAGAGAGTTGGAGCCAGCTATTTGGTAACATGATGACTAAGGGCTTGTTCACACCAATTGTGGTGCGTTCCAGAGCAGCAGCTGCTGGAACGCACTGCAACCGCTCACAAAACTTCCCCCTGCGTTCTGGGGAGGGAGGGGGCGTGGCGGTTCATTGAAGTCAATGGCACCGCAGCCACGCCGCCCGCAGTGCGATCGGACGCGTGGAAAAATATTGCCTGCATTCCGGTCCACTGCAAACACACCAAAAATGCTGCATGCTCTATTTTTTGCATTTGCAGTGGAACATATCGCACGGACTTCAATGCATCGCCACGCCCCCTCCCGCCCCAGAACCCAGGGGGAAGTTTTGTGAGTGATTGCGGTGCGTTCCAGCAACTACCACTCTGAAACGCACCACAATTTATGTGAACAAGCTCTAAGGGCTAGTTCACACCAAGCGCAGAGCAGTTGCAGAACGGATCACAACTGTGTCCAATGTATACCAATGGTATTTTGGGCTTTAGTTCACACCTGAGCGTTCAGTTCCAGAGCATGTGGAAAAACTGCAGCATGCCCTATTTTTTTCTGCTCTGGAATGCACCAAAACGCATGCAAATGCATCAAAAACGCATGCAAATGCCCTGGAACGCACTGAAAGCCCATTTTAGGCTAAAAAACGGCCCAGAACACTTCAAAAACGCATCAGAAACAGGGCAAGACACACTGCACTGCATGTGCAGAAACTCATGCAGATCTGGTCTGCATTTGGTGTGAACAAGCCCTAAGTGCTTGGGTGAAAATGTAAAGAAAAACTTTGCTGGGCGATGTATATTTGTTTGATCTAGATTCATTATTGAAAGAAAATTGGAGAGTTCAAAACTATTTTAAAGTGCATCTAAGCCCAAAAACAACAATATAATATATTAAAGCTTGAAAAAGGGTGGCAGTATTCGTGTGCTTTTAAGGTTTCTTTCACTGTATTTCCACCTGGTGATCCGGCCAGTAACACACTTCCTGTCTTGGGCTGACTCCACTCTATGTAGGAGCAACAGAACCACCCATGGGCAGCAGCATTGTCACCTTGTGGAGGGGGAAGTGTTAGATGAATGAGAAGATTTAGATGGACTTGACTATCAAATTAAAGGCAAACTCCGGCTAACACTTTTTAATCACTTACAGCAACAGTTTTAGTTTTTTTTTGCTTTTGGGATAAAGGTTTTACATACATAAATAAAATCAGACCATTGTAAGCACCACTGTCAGTGGTAAATGGCTTGTCTCAACCCTCTATTTACTACTTCTGCTGGACAGCTTGGTGCGGTAAAGGAAATTAGTCGAAAATAACAAACTTATTAGCCTAATCACTAGGTGAAAATAAAGGAAAAAAAGCCTAAAGGTGCCCATACACTGGCCAAATTTCAGATGGATTTTAATGCACAGTGTGTGGGGCTGTCAGCTCCCTTTCTGCCAGCATTGCTCAATGTCAGGAACCGGATCTGAACCGAGGGCCGCTGCTGCCGCTGGCGGTGGTTCTACCTGCTGAGCTACCTTAGAACCTTGGATAGCTCTTTGCCTGCTCTACTGTGTTAAGGTGCCCATACACTGCTCGATTCTCGTACGAGGATCGTGGGAAATCCCGTGATCGTACGAGAATCGAGCAGTGTTAACGAAGACGTGCGACCGTTTCTACTGTACGGTCGCACGTCTTTTGTCTAAGGAGCATGCTAGAAAACCAGCCGAAAATCGTACGATTTTCGGCTGGTTAGAACGGTGCTCGGGAGACAAATGCCGAACGGGCCGGTGTGCGCACACTGCCCGTTCAGCATTGCGGTCATCGGAGGCCCGCCCCTCAGGGGGGCGGGCTTGCGATGATCGAGAGTACGATCTGCCTGTCCAAGATGGGCAGATCGTACGTTTTTACAACCATCGCAAGACTAAGGTTTCCTTCTCTTTGCTGCTCTTCCTTTTAAATCTGTATCTGTTCTCATGCTGGGCAGAACTTCTGTTTTGCAGCAGACTGCCTTGTCTCTGAAATGGATACATGATGTCTGCGTGTAGGTTCACAACCTGAGCCAGCACTACAGAAAGAGGCACTCAGCTGCAAAGGGAAGTTCTCCCCCCCATCATAAGAAGACATGAGGATTTAAAAGGAAGAGGAGCAAAGAGAAGGGAAACTACCATGGATTACAGTAAGGCGCACAATTACAGTATTGGTTTATGTTAAAAAATCTGAGGGTTTAATGTCACTTTAAGCCATGCCTCTGTACTTCCTGTTTGCCAGATTATTGTGCTCCTGCCATTATCTTGCTTCCTGCTCCATCTGTGCTACAATCTACTCATACTGCTACCCGTGTATCGACCTTTGGCTGCTGATTCACCTACTACTCTCACCGTCTTCTGCTACATACCTGATACCTTTAGCTCCTGACCTTGGGTTGTTTGCTGACTACGCTTCTGCCTGCTCCTCCACTACTACCCGCTGCTTGCGTACCAAACCCGGCCTGTTATACAACGAATTGCCTGCTGCTTCAGCTACTGGACTCTGAGCCTTATCCCAGATCGTGACACTCAATCAGCTAATCGAAGGAGTCGCCTGGAAAATTTTCGATTGATCAGAGCCGGCAGCCAATGAGCTGCCTGCTCTGATCGGGTATTCTGACAGGAGGCAGTGAAACCAGTCAGAATACAGTGCAAACAGCAGGATTTCTCGATCAACACGCTGTTTGTGTTGATGGAGGAATCAGGACCATTTTTTTTTGTTAAGCCCGCAGGTTGAATGACAAAAATTGATAGGTGTATGGTCAGCCTAAAAGAAAACAAATGCAGCCACCACATTTACTGATCAGCAGCAATATATTACATTTCCTTTTGGATTTAGATAAGCTTTAAGGGGACAGTTTCTCCTTTCATACATAATTTTCTCATGTAGAATCATCTGATTATTTAACAACTTCAAGTAAGACGTACAAGAAGGATGGATTCATCCAGCTGATCGCTATGGCCTTGAAGGCCATAAATAATCCTTTAGGAATATTCTCATATAATGAGCCCAGAGGTCTTCATACAAAAAAACAGACATATTTCAGGTGTGCAAGGGATAGGAAGCAGTATTATAGTAGATAGGAAACTATCTACATGTCTTTAAAAGTCAGATAGAACTGTTCAGCTCCACATAAGGTGGACAAATCTGCCCGAGGTTGGGTACACCAGAAACAGTTAGAAGTGGAGATACCGTATGTCCCATATGGTTCTATTTTTTTTCACTTGACTATATTGCTTTGTTATGATACAAATCATTCTGCCCTTTCACATGGATAAGAAGTGATATCAGTGTATAATGAGCAAATGACAAAGAATCTTACATTATAAGTTCATTGTTGTCTTCTTTTATCTTCCTTAGGCTTCTTCTTGTCCGATCCTGTTTGTAGATAAAGGTGCGGATTGTAGCATACCTCTCCGTGTTTCCTGAAGGCGGCTTTGGAATAAAACCCTGTTGAAGAGAAGATAATTTCCTTATGATTGACTGATATGTATTGTCCACGGTCAGCTTAATGTCCCCAATGCACTTTCTTCCTCCTTTCCTTTATACCTCCTTAAAAAAAGAAAAAAATCATGCACTGCGATGCGTTCTAACACCGCACTGCAGCGCATGTGCATGGCGTACACCACAACATGGTTTTATGTTGTTTTTTCCTATTAGTTTTTTATTTTTACATTTTTCTAATTTATTTTTTCATAATATATACATATTTTATTTTTATTTTTTACTGTTGGGGGTGCTACGGGGAAATATATGGGGTCTAAACAGACCCCTGACATTTCCCTTTTTAAACAGAAAAATAAACTAAAGACGCAGAGTCCTCCATTTCTTTTTCTGCACTAAATGATGCACTGTGATGGGTTCAAACAACGCACTGCAGCGCATGTGCATGGCGTACACGTGTGTTATGTGTGTGGGGGTGGGGGGGTTTGTGTTTTTTTTTAGAAATTTATTTATTTTTTAATAATTTGTTTAGCTTTTTTTTAAATTTCTTTTTTAAATTTTATTTTTACTGTTGGGGGCTTCGGGGAAATATCCGGGGTCTAAACAGACCCCTGACATTTCACTTTTGAAATAGAAAAGGAAATTGAGGACACAGCACTCAATGCAGCCTCAGCACTCAATGGATCACTTCCTGTTCATTCATGATTTCTTAATGAGGAGAAGCACTCAGTACAGAGGCTTCCCATTCATTCAGAAACTGATGATAAAATATTTACTATCAAGCAGTTTCTGAATGGGGAGGAGCCTCTGTACTGAGTGCTTCTCCTCATTAAGAAATCATGAATGAACAGAAAGTGATTTAAATCACATCCTGTTCATTCATACTGGGGACAGATAGTATTATGTGTCCCCAGTTATTTACAAACACTGGAGTGATCATACGATCACTCCGGTGTTTGCTCTGCACAGAGGGATCGTTAAATATCACTGATATTTAACGATCCCCCGCTCTGCCACGCACAGAGCCGCTGTCATCCAGAAACTGACAGGATGACAGCGGCTCCGATCTCTACCACCCGGACATTTGGATTCGGATCCCAGCTGCCACAGCCCCTACAAGCGGCGGAGAGCAGCGGGGATCCATGCCGACACAGATTCCAGAATGTTTGTCGTTAATAGCTGTCATCAGTGGCTTGTGAGCCGCTGATGACAGCTATTCATTTAACGAGGACTGTCTGGGGAACAGTTCTGGTATAAGTTCATGGTCGCTAAAGCGACCATGAGCTTATACCAGAACTGTAAATGCCAGCGCCGTAAGGCATACAGACCTGGCCAGCTGGGAACAGTTTTGTTCCGCCGTATGCCTTACGGCGGTGGCAGCGAAAGGGTTATAGCGTATCCAAACCCAAGAACTAAAATGTCATATATTGCAGTTTACCAGTCATTAGATGTGGTGACTGCATTCGTTTTCTTTTTTTTTCCCTATAGTTTTACCTGGTGATCCTGATCCTGCCAGCAACACTCTTCCTGTCCTTGTGGGAAACACTCACTCACTGTACTTCATCTATAGAGAAGCAGAATTATTGCTCTAGGACAGGACTACAGAACACCTGTCCCTCTGCATAACATGGGGAAGGTATTCTGTAGTCTGAATAGGACTAATAAGACTGCTTGAAATAACACTGCAAAATGCACAGGACAAAGGACAGCACTGGATTTCTGGCAGGATCACCAGGTTGTTTTTTTTTTCACTTATAAGAGATATAATAAAACTATTTCAACTGTAAATTTACCATACCAAAAGGGAGCAAATTCACACCAGCTAGTTGTGCTAAACGCAAGGCTGCAGGTGTGCGTTAAGGTGCAGTGCTGATGTGCAGATCCTGGCACATTGCACTGTTTATTTTTCACAAGCGTCACAAGTGACATTTCATCAAGTTCTATCGGCACAATGCATTGCAATGCGGCTTTACCGTGTCGCACCACAATGCACTGAGAAAAAGGCCTTACTTTTTTTAGCACACACCACTGCTACATAGCGCTGTGAACTATACGCATTTAAAACAAGGCAAACTGACTTGTCTATGCATTGGGGCAGAGCTGTAAAAAGCGGCCAGTGCAGCCCCAATGCTTCTGGTATGAACGGGCCCTAAAATACAAAACTGGTATCTCCAGAGCTGGAGAGATGGGAGCATGCAGTCACCTATCACAATGATATGGCTCAATTCACACTTCAGGATTTAGTGGGTGCATAAGGACGTTGTCCCTACAAATTGAGTCACCTTCTCAAAGAACTGGTGCCCAATGATGGGAAATAGATTCTTTTACACATTTGGAGACTGGGAAGAACTGCAGGTACTGGAAAAGGGAGGAGCACTTTGGAGGGATAGACGGTAAAAGCTTCCCTGCCTGTTCATATTCTATATGGCTAAAAGTTTGTGAATACTTCACCATCACTCCTACTAAATGGCCCAAACTGTGTGGACACTCATCTAAATGAGTTCAGGTGTTTCCAGTGAAGGGTACTTTTAATGCCACAATACACAAAGACATTTTAGACAATTGTGGTCTTGCAACCTTGTGGCAAACGTTTGGAGCAAGGTTTTTTTCTGTTCCAGCATGACCATGTCCCTGTGCACAAAGTAAGGGACATGGTCATAAAAACATGGCTTAATGAGTGTGGTGTAGAGGAACTCGAGTGGCCTGCACAGAGCCCTAACCTCAACCCTTCCAAACACCTTTGGAATATGTTGGAACACTTACTGCAAGCTAGGTCTCATCCAACATCAGTACCTGACCTCACAAATGCTCTTTTGGTTGAATGGGCACAAATTCTCAAAGGCACACTCCAAAATCTTGTGAAAAGCCTTCTCGAAAGCGTGGAGACTGTTATAGTTGCAAAGGGGGAGTGGGGGAAATCTACATTGTAATGCCCATGATTTTGGAAAAGGATGTTCAACAAACTTGTATAGGTGTAATGGTGAGGTGTCCACAAACAATTGACTATACAGTATATGTACATGCCCTCTTGCCAAGGCCCAGCATGACTGTGTCCTTGTGCACAAAGCGAGCTCCAAAAAGACATGAGTTTGGTGTGGAGGAACTTGTTACCTGCACAGAGTCCTGAACTCAACCCTACTGAACACCTTGTGGTCAGGTGTCCACAAACTGTTGTCCGTATACTAGCCGGTCACATCACATGTGGGGTCCTCCTGCTCTCCCAAATTCCATAGCGGTGGGTGGTCCTCTGAGATAATGGGGTTGATTTACTAACCTTATAAACACACCACGAACATGTATACACCTCTGTAGTGTGTTCACTCCCAGCATGATCTATGGGTGGAATCTAAACACCTTTGTAGTGTGTACACACCCAGCAGGTGTGTTGTGCAAAGCCCTGCATGAATTGCAAGGTGATGTTGTGTAAATTAGCTCTATGTTGCTTGCGTTGATGAATACAGGAATGTAAATGCATGAGCTAACCATTTTTGTCTAAACTGTGAAGCAGCATTATATATGCATCATGTGCATGATTTTTCCATATATGGCATTAGTAGAAATATGCTTTTAGAGACTTTTTGGTTGATAAATACGTTTTGCTGTGTGAAAATCACACGCACCTGGTGCGTGCGTGTGTTTAGGTTAGTAAATCACCCCCAATGAGTCAGCATCAATACACTATGAATGGAAGACACAGTGGTGATGCCCCCTCAGAGGTGGGGCCATGACACCCTGCATTCATAGTATGTGTTCAGTTTGTGGAGAAAAAGAACTGCAGTGGACAGCTTATGATTGAAGGTGAGGGCTAGTTCACACCAGAACTGCATCACAACTGTGTTCGTCTGCGCAGCAGCAGTGCGATGCGGTTTGACGCGGTTTTACTGTGATTTTACCGCGATTTTGACGCAATCTGATGCATTTTTTTCCAAAATGTAAATTAGACCATTATGCCAATTCCTTCTTCCTGTCAGAGCACTTCCAAATTCTGCTTTTTCTTTTTTCATTTTGTATGGGTTCCGTTGCGTTTGCATGCGTTCTGTTACGATCCGATGCAGCTAAAATAGGGCAAGCAGTATTTTTTCTCACTGCATTGGAATGGACTGCACTGGTGTAAACAGTGCACCAGAAATCCCATAGGATAGCATTGTGATGCATTTTTGATGCAGCTGCCAAACTGAACGGACTTTATCGCAACTGCATCTGGTGTGAACTAGCCCTAAAAATTGCAGCCAGAGATGGGGGCCGGTAATATTAAAAAAAGTGCCCAGAGCTGAGTCTTAAGTGAACATTTTGCCTTTTCCAGCATTGACTAAGCACAGGTTTACTTTATTTTGATTTCTACAAAAAGCCTACAGTTCAGGTCAGCTAGGGGCCCCCACAATCAGCTGCTTGTTAAAAAAAAAACTGGCAGCAGAGGACCACTCCAAGGGTGATGCGTGGATATGATATGGCAATTAGAAAAACTGCAGCAAGGTTCTACTCACAGAGCTTATAGGAAGAGGCACTTTGTTTTCATGCAGGATAAAATAGGAGTGCTCACCAGTCTGTGTTCATTAGGGCTGACAGGCTCTTTATGCATGGCAGTGTTTCTGGATACCATCTGGAGAACATCTGAATTCTCTGCTGCGAGATGTAAGCGAGAGAGCAGATCGCTCCTCCGCTCCTTGGCGTACATCATGTGTCTTGCTTCCTGAGGTCAATAGAAAGAAAACAAAGGAAGGGGGAAAAACTGTTATTTCTGATATATTTTCAGCATTTATTACAAGGCAGGCATAGGCAATCTACATTATCATGGGCACAGAGGAACTATAGGCCATCTTATTTCATTCTGTAACTTCCAAAGAAGTCTGACAATACCGCTACTCATTGCACTGTATACAGGAAACCAGTGCCCTTCCCATTCAGGACAAAGCAAAAGATTTGCTTTTAAAGTAGTATTAAACTCTCAATGTTTTTTTCAATAATAAATCCAGATCAAACATATACTGTATACATCGCCTAGCAAAGCATTCCTTTAATTCTTTTTGTCCAAACGCATACAGTCATCATGTTTCCAAACAGCTCCAACTCTCTGAGCTCAGCTTCCCTGAAATTCCTGTCCAGTACAAGATCACAAGGGGCAGTGCAGTCTACAGCAGCCATCCATCTACTAGCTTGGAGGAAGGAGGAACAGAGGAGTGACTTTATGTGGAGACATGGACAGCATATCGGTGTTAGGAGCATGTCAAAGGCTCCTATCCCTCTCGCAACCACTCAGCTCCCTCTGGTGGTTGCCTCTTGTAACTGCACCTACCACAGTCCAGTCAGCTGTAGGCTGATCAGGCTAATCAGCCTGGCTACATGCCCCTTACAGCCTGGGCGTTGGTTAGTTTCGCTCTATTTAAGCATCACAAGCTCAGAGCTCTGGGCTTGTGATAGTTCCAGCCTTGTCTTGTCTTTGCTTTGTCTACACAAGCCTGTACCCTGATCCTGATCCTGAATCCCAGTCCTGCCTAGATCTTGTATCCTAGTCTTGCTTTGGCTCTTTAATCCTATACCTGTCTTGTTTCCTGTATCTTGTATTAGTCTCTGTCTTGTATTTGTTTCCTGTTCCTGTCTTATACCTTGACGTCAGTCAGTACTTCTCCTTGTTCCTGGGGGCCAGCCTGTGGCATCACCTGATCAGAACAAATAGTTTAAGTCCGGCGGGCATCCAAGTACCGGTAGGCATGCTTGCCTTATGGGAACGGTGGCTGCTAAAGGTGAAACAACTCGTCGCTATTGGCTCTGACCGCGTGCGTCCACAGCTGGTCCTTACAACTAGCACACACAAGGGTGGCTCCATAAGACTCTGCAAGGGAAATACGCCACCCTAAAACATGAAGTCCTGACCAGTGCTCAGGGGACCAGCTGATTCTACAGGAAGATAAAACGTTTAAACATCAAGAAGCAGCATCCATTGTAAGTGATTTCATCAGCATTAGAAACAGCTTCAAAAACGTTTAAGTTTAATATCACGTTAAGCCCTCTTACCATCTGGGGGAAGAAGTATATTATATACAGTCATTGTATTCGTATGCACACATGACCATACCGATTTCTGGCTACATTCACATGTATCCATCCAAGTCAACGGCTCCTGGCCAACTCGACAGATTTATATCCCTCAACACTAACACTCTCAAGCAATGTGCAGCACTGTAACATGAAATGCAGATCTCTGTGGTGATATGCAGCACACTTTGATAACGTAAAAGCACATTTTGTAGCCAATGTGACCATTCGACCTTTACCAATTGCAAGCTTTATGGTCAAAGCAAATAATGTCGTTTTTCACCAGTCACAACTTAAAGGGTTTCTAAACCCTCCGTTTTTGTTTTGTATATATCTATTGCTAGCAAGCAGTAGATATATGCAAAAAGTTAAAAAAAAACATAGCCCGTCTTTGCCGCGCGCTCCCATCCGAGAATCCAAAACTGCTCGGCCAGCCGCAAGACATCATGGGGTGGGCGCATGCGCAGTTCAGATTTTCGGCCGGGAGATGAGGAGAGACGCAAGGTAAGTCTATGGACGCGTGCACCCGCCTGCAGACACCGCTGGATCGGAAGTGCATGCAAGCAGAGAGGAGTCAGCGCTGGATTGGAGAGCCGCTGCACCGCTGGAGGGACAGATGAAAACATCAGGAAAGAAGATTGGATTAAGAGACATCATTTAAGATAAGTGCTAACATTAATATTGGGGGGAGGGGACATTTTTTTTGCCTTTAATGTCACTTTAAAGCGGACCGTTCCCAGATCTTTAAAACAACAACAAACACCATTAGAAATGTTTAGTAATGACAATCTACAAACATATATTTCTAGATCATTGCCGGCTTTGTATTCTTTGCATATCTTATTTCTCTTTTCTTCCCCAGTCTTCTGACAGTGGCCATGTTTACTAAGGCTAGATTACTAGCTCTCCTTTTACTTCCTGGATTTCTGGCACATGTGACTAGACATGCGACCATGTACATCATCTCAGGGGAGGAAAATGCCTTTCCCTGAGAACTCGTGAGATTACACATGAGATTTCCCATCAATGCTCGGCTTGTGACGAGGCAATCCCAGTGCACATTGCTTTGGCAAACTGAAGTAATTTGCACTTTTAAAGCAGGAAGTGAACGCTCTGCAAGTGTAAGTATTTCATAATCACATTTTACACTTGACATGTCTATGTTATTGTTAATCATCATACGTAGAGGCAGGGGTGTCCCGAGGCCGGGTGTCACCCGGAGCAGATACCGGGTGACACCCCGCGTGACGTCACCCCGCATGCGCGGTCATCTTTTTGATATTTGCCGGCGGCCATCTTGGTGAATGACGCCGGCAGAGAGGGGGGAGGACACGTTCACCCGGCGGGATAAGGTGTGCCGCCGGGGTCCCCTCCTATCTCTCCTGCAGCTGTCGGACTCTCGGTCCATGACCGAGTGCCCGACTTTTCAGAGGAGGTGACACCAAAATGACTGCAAGTCATTTTGGTGTCACCCCTCCAATGGTGTCACCCGGGTGCAGGCTGCACTCCCCTTGTGACCCCACTTTGATTTTTGAGTGTATAGGTCCGCTTTAATAGTAGATCATTCCTACACCTATGCAACAAGTCCCATCCCTTTTTAAGGTCACATCCTACAACAAACCCAATGTTCTTTCTTGCTGTACATGCCTGATATATATCAATGAAAAAGAGCCACAAGCAGCATTTTTGGAAGCTGATGACACTTCTCCCCAACCCATGTAATAGGGAAGGGTGACTCTCCCACCTCATTTCAATGCAGATTGATCAAATACATGTACAGTACTTGCACAGACCCATTTAAAATGGACACTTTAGTAACTTTATAAGTCTGCATGATGAATATTTCTGGCCAGCTGCAATATATAGCAAGGGATTTTTTTTTTTTAAATAAAACCTTGAGGTCCAGTCAGGGATTTTGGCCTAGGGTCTAATGATGTAATCAGTCTGCTGCAGGCAAGAGGAAGCATTTCCTCAGTTTTCTCTTCTGCCCTCGATCACCTAGACTGTACTTTGTAGCGAGGCACAATTTAAAAGGCTGCAGCAGGGGCTGATCTCTGTGAAATATTTGTGAACACAGCCCAGAAATGCACAGGTACCAGGATTTGAGTCATCTCTGAGCTAGCATTTTAGTTCAGGAAGTAGTTGCTGACCCTGGTTAATACCTGAACATAAATAACTCCATCCTTCCGGAGAGAAAAGCAGATGAAGGCTGGAGTACTGTGATTTCAATAAGAGGTAATAAACACCTGATGGCATTACCCTTACACAGTACTGACGCGGACCGTACACTGCTCTATTTTTTTAATTCAACCTTTGGGCTGAATGGAAAAAAAAGAGCAGATTCCTCCATCAACCCATAGGGGTGTGTCGATCGAGGAATCCCGTTGCCTGCATTGTATTCAGACAGGTGCAGCCTGCCACTGTCAAAATACCCGAACAGAGCTGACAGCTCATTGGCTGCCGGCTCTGATCATACAAAGATTTTCGGGCCAGCTCCTTCGATCATGTAATCAAGGGATGCCGGCCGAAATTGTGCCGACAAAGGCACCCACTGTGGGAATTTCGTCCGGTTCCTCAAAAACAGGCTAAAATTCGCACAGTCTATGGGCACCTTTAGCATGAATGTAGTTAAAGTAGTAGAGGTGCACCGAAATGGAAATGTCAAAACCAAAACGAAACTGAAATAAAAAAAATTGTCAGACCGAAAATGTTTTTTATTTACATTTTTTCACATTTTTCAAATATTTTTATTTATTTTTTATAAACTTTTTAATTTGTTATAATTATTTTTATTTATTCATTTTTTATTCAATATTTTTATTTTTTACTTTACTTTTAGGGGCTTCGGGGATATATTGGGGGTCTAACCAGACACCTGATATTTCCCTTTTAAAATAGAAAAAGAGATTGAGGACACAAAGTATCCCCTGTTATCAATGAACAGGAATCTTCTATACTGGGGGTTCCTGTTCATTCATAACATGAGGACATAGTGTGTTTACTATAACTACAATCATGAATGAACAGGAGGTGATGTACATCACTCCGTTCATAATTGAGGATATAGTAAACATCAGAGGCGTAACTAGAACCTTCAGGGCCCCGATGCAAGAAACCATGAAGGGCCCCCCTCAACCGCTATGGCACCGCATGGGTAACAGGAAGGCTGCCGAGGTCCCCAGCAAGCACGGGACCTCAGGCAGCCGCTTGTTTAACATTTTAGTGCCGGTGTTCTGTCGAGAACGCTGACCCAGTAACTGCGGTTACGTACAGACGGGATTAACGAGGAAACCGCCATTTATTTACAAAGTATTCGTTTGTAATGGTTAATTGTGACCGGTAATAATATGCCGTCCATGGCAGGAAATGATGGAATATTATTAACAGTCACAATTAACGATTTAAAAAAAAATACTTTGTGAATAAATCCCGGTTTCCTCGATAATATTGGTCTGTGTGCAAGCGCAGATGCTGAGGTCAGCAAATTCTACTACGTCGACAGAACACCGGAATCTGCGTTTAGTATCGGGGCATTTTCACGAGTGTGAGTACTCGTGAAAATGCCCAGTATTGGCAGTGGTGTATCCCTACTTTAAAATATAATGCATTGCTGCGACTTGTAGTCCTACATAGTTGGAGCTA